GGAGAATCTGTTTCCGAGAATTATTTTTTGTTATGGAAGAGCTAAGTGATAAACAGGAGGAGAAAGTGGAAATGGAGAGTAGCACGTTAGAGTCGATAAACGAGAATGGACTGTCCACCGAGAAACCTGTAGACGACGAAAATTCGTCGGAGCAAACTAACGAACAACCGGAATCCGAGGAATGCCCGGTTAAAACTGCCGAGTGCAAGCAAGTCTTCGACGAGAGTGCAAGTCCGTCGAACGCGAAGGAGACCGTCACGGGGACGAAAGTAAAGCGTAAACTGAGATCGACGCGTAGAAAGTTGAATTCGATGATCAACAACACGTCGTTACACTTCTCCGACACCGATTCCGAAGGTGAATTAACCACGATTAATTCTCAAGTTCGGACGTTGAATCACACGGCGGACGATCAGCAATGGCCGATTATTTGCGTGACGTCGGACGATACGGAAGCCAAAGGCTCGAATATCTTGTCACCGGACGACGACAAAGGTTCGCCTCAACGTGGCAATTTCGTGGAATGTCTGACGGACGTTGATGAGATTTATCCAAGTGAACCGGAAACCGAGCAAATTGAAAATCAGAACTGTCTGAAGGTCGCTGAAAATCCTTGTCACGGTGAAACAGATCTCGAGGACTTCGAGGGCGACGACGAAGTCCATTGGATGATCTACGTGAAACCAAGATCCGACATTTTTTGTGATTATAGCGGGGAAACGGTAATGACCAAAGAAGGTGATGGACCGTTTTCTGTAGAAGTGCGGAATAAAATGTACCGCGACGACTCACCGTTGAACAGGTCGTGCGGCACCACGCCGGATATCGTGGTGATGTCCAATACAGACGAGGAAGATATGGACATATCCGACGAGGAGGATGTAGAGGAAGCTTGTTGCAGTCATAAGGAGTTGTTGGAAGACTTGGAGGTCCTTGCAGCGTCTCATGTTGTTATGAAAAATATGAATAAAATGGAAAATATGTTAGTTGTTAAAGATAACGACGATGCGATTAGCGACTGTCATACCGATGTCGAAGATGTCGATCCGAACGAATAAGTTTATACGAATGAAATGTCGACGGTAAGAATATTAATTTACAAAGTACGTTTTCTAGTGGAAAAACAGTATGCTACTTAAATATCGCGCGTATCTACGATGCAAGGGTGCGTTGGATATTATTCGTTGCGTCCACCAATGATAGTGTGCCTCGTAGAATTGTAGAGCATATACGACGAGTATTCCGAGTGGAAAAATTCTGTCGAACGTAATATTTATGATGAAATTGAGAATATTCTAACGAATAACTGCTTATCATTGGAGATAAAATCTCTGGAAAACTTGAGAATCACCTTTTCAATTTACTTTTCTGATAGGAGGAAAATTCTATATTTACAAACTATTATTTTCATTTAGGAAAAATTCTTTTCATAAGATAGATCGAGTTGAATAAATTTCAATAATGATAATATATTTGTCTTATAGATTTATGAATATTTTTAAATCTCGTACAAGTGCTTCGTACGAGACTTCAATCTTGTAATTTCATCTAAAATGTTATCTTTATTTTATATCACAGTTATAAAAATATGTTACCTAGAATAATTTTCATATATTTTCATTCACGAGAATGCCATAGGAACAAAATACGTTTCATTAGTTTTTCTTTCAACATTTCAATACTTCGTGGAGAAACGTTAAAATCTCTTTTTGAGATAAATTTTGAACGATCTGCTTTTCGGAAATATTCAAAAGTAAAATTTTTATTTAATTAAAATTACATTTTCTTTTAGTTGTATATTACTATTGTGTTAATTATACAAATATTGCTTGATATTTGCTTTTCCTCTTATAAACTTAAAAGATTCTTTTCAATATGACCACTGTGATCCCAAATTTCTTGCATATTAATTATACGTCGAATGATAATTAGTTCACTTACTATTACACTTATTATTAGCTCATAAGCTAATAAAGAAAATAGATTGTTACTTTCTTTATTTCTCCACAGACAGTTTAAAATACAATTTTGTTCCTTGCTAACATGATATCTTCATAAAATCACGCAATGCAGGAAAGACATTTCCCTAATCTTATTATACTTACTATAAACCTCTTATGCGCATCATTATTTGGCATGTTTTATACATGTCTGTTTTCTTTTCCTCATGGAAAATCTTGTATATAATTAATTAATGTACACTATACTAACGAGGATTTGTGAATTAACGTACACTTTGATGTCATTTTTACATAGAACTGATGGCAAAGAAAAGGAAGGAGGAAACTAAATCGGTTCAAAAATTAATCGATTCATCTTTTTACCATAAAAAGGTTATTCGATTTCTCTACATCAGTTTCTAAGAAGATCGTAGTCGTAATAATTGAAAGTAGTGCGGGAAAAGCAAATATCGATAAGTAATATCTACCTATAAACGACGTTCAATGAAGAAAAGAGTGTTTCGTAAGAAAGCCTACGGGAAAACTAATCCATTATCAAACATGGCACTACATACGGTGAAGGTGATGACGGTACTGACAATACTAATCGACACTGTGTCGCTATTTCTTCAATTTCCGACACACGTGTATAAACGGTCCCATAGACTGCAATGTATTTTCACGTTGAGCTAGAAAATATCTTGCGTAAAATTGTGCTCACAATTAGCGTATTTCGTTCTTGACGATTTCTTCACGACGAAGATCGTAATGTTCATCTGTTTGGTGAAATTCGCGAGATATATCTGCATGTTAAATCTGAAAAATTTCACGTCAATTTCATTAGAATTAACATCGAAAAATTCACTGCAAATTTAAGTCACTTTCTGATATTTTCAAAAACGTGTCTGAAGTATCTAAATTCTTACCTACTCTTAACGCCTGAATTCTTACTGTGTTGCTTGCTTGAACCATTACTTCCTTGGTAGCAACTCCTCTTTCTCATCGTCATACAAATGTATGACGTATCTGTTTTTAAATTAGCAATAAGGAGCTTACGAAAAAGATCCGTTTCATTGCCGTACAAATTAGCATAAGGTCAAGATCCGTTGGAAATCGTTTAAATTATGCAAACGAATCAACTGTTTCCCTCGAGCAGTTTTCATCTTCATCGTTGCAGATAATGAAAGAAAAAAGCTTTATAACTCGACCTTGCAAATACTCACAAGTGTGTCACCTATCCGTGTGATATTAAATACCAACTATTTGACGTAGACAGACAACATCAGAATCGTAATTTCCAAGTGGTAATTTCCAGGTGTCGAAGTATTACCTGCACGTAATCTGGGCGCTAAAACAGCAATTCAAGGGAGATAAGGAGATTAGGTTTGATATCAGCTCAGAATTGATTCTTCCATTGCAGTGTATTTCAAAAATTTGTCCGCACCTTAATCGTTGACAGCTACAGATGAATTTTTACCAATGCA